CCTTCTTCTGCTGCTCGGCCTGCAAGCGAAAGGAGAGGGTGAAGGGGTGATTTTCTGCGGAGGAAATGAGCAAACCAAAGGCCGGTGCTGTTCTCGTGTTGGAAACCCCCAGTCCCACCTCCCCGCCCTCCTGTTCTCTCCCTCAGGCAGAAAGTCAAGGTAAGTTCACTTTTTACTGTTTTTCTGCCTACTGTGGGGGGAAAAAAAGACAATTCCAAGATGATCTTCAACCTCAGGAAACATTAATCCACCCAAGGGTGGAAAATTGTCTAGGAGGGATTGGAGACACCAGGAACCAATTCCAAGTTTCTGAGAAGGACAAGTTACCTTTTCCACAATGAATCTGGCTCTCTCTGCTTCCTGCTGGGCCACCTGCTTCATTTCCACCGCCTCTGTGAACTCCTTGCCGAAGGTCAGGTGGGTCTGGAGGGCACAAACCAAGCCAAGTCCACAACACTGACAGTTCTCAGCAGCTCTGCTATGACCCTGCCTGGCCCAGGGACACTGGAATGGGGGGGAAAGCCAGGATCCCACAAAGAACAGCAACTGGGACAAGGGGACCTCCCCATCCCACAGCCATCCCCACCCTCAGCCCGGGCTGCCTGGACAGCTGAGAGCTCCTGGTATGGGACAGGGGAAAGCTCAGCTTCCCTCAGGAGTGTGCTCAGGGGAAAACCCCAGAAACAAAGTGTCAAAAATGACATTTTGCAGAAACAAAGTCACCTCCCTGCAAACCCTTCCCCTGTGTCCCTTCTCCTGTGTTCTGAGGAAAGCCCCAGGTGGATGCACAGGCCAGACTACAACACATTTCATTTACAGAGGGAGAAACTGAACTTGTGGAGGCAGATGGGAGGGCAGAGCTCCCTCCTTGGATAGGCCTGGAAGAGGAGAACCAGGAGAACACTTAATGCTTTGCAGAAAAAGCTGCTCTCACAGTGGGTATTTTCACCCCTCCTCATCCCTGGTGCTTCCTTGGGGTTCCTGTGGAACAGCTGCCAAATGCAGAGCCAGGTGCAGCCCAATCCCTCACCCAGGGAAGGATTTACTCCTCACTGGAGCTACAAAAGCCCTGCACAGAGAGGGCTGTGGACACACCAAGGGCTGCCCAAGGTCAGCAGGACAAAGGCAGAGGAGCTGACAGGAGCTGGGAGCACAGACACACACAGGCCACACATCCAAACCCCGCCACATCCCACTGACTGCAAAGAGGGAACTCCTACCAAGGACACGTCGTCCAGGATGAGCCCGAAGGTCGCCGCTCTCTCCGTGAGGTCCTCGCTCACCTGCCTGGAGACCAGCTCCCTCTGGGTGATCAGCTCTCCAGCATCAAAGCGAGCCTGGAACAGGGAATTCCTTCATGGAAAGGGCGGCCAGGCACTGGAAGGGGCTGCCCAGGGAGGTGGTGGAGGCACATCCCTGGAGGTGTCCAAGGAAGGACTGGATGTGGCACTCAGAGCTCTGGGCTGGGGGACAAGGTGGGTGGACTCGATGCTCTTGGAGGTTTTTTCCAACCTCAGGGATTCTGGGATTCTGTGAAAGCTCCCAGAAGCAGGAGATTCTCCGTGCCCTGCCTGTCTTTGCACCCAGAGCCCCAGAGCTCTCCCCCAGCAAACGTGGAGCTGCCCAGGCAGCTGGAGCAGGAGCAAGACTGAATGACTGGGAGTTTAAGGTGGCAAGGGATTATTTGGCAGTTCCCTGGGGATGCTCCCAAACCCAGAGCTCTTCAGTCAGCTGAAATGTAAGATTACAGGGTAATGAAAATCCTGTTCTCCTGCTGGAGACTCCCAGCTGGAAGAGCAGAGCTGGTAATGAAGGAACCTCTTTCCATCCAGAGATCATCCAGCACGAATCAAATCAGGCCAAGCAGTTGGAATGACCAAGGAACAAACAATCAGCATTGCTGGGTGGCCCACGAGAGCCTGGGGGTGGAAAGAGCAGCCTTATCAGACTGCCAGAGGGCAGGCTTAGGTGGGATTTTAGGGAAAAAATTCCTCCCTGTGAGAGTGGTGAGGGGCTGGAATGGATTTCCCAGGGAAGCTGTGGCTGCCCCATCCCTGGAAGTGTCCAAGGCCAGGCTGGATGGGGCTTGGACCAACCTGGGTTGGAACTGGATGAGCTTTAAGTTTCCCTCCAACCCAAACCATTCTGGGATTCTACTCTTCCAAGGCACGACACATTCCACGCTCCAGCGGGTCCCTCATTGGCCGGAGAGGGAAGAGAGAGCCCAGCAGCTCCCGGGCCGTCCTTACCACGACAGACTTGAGGATCTCGGTGGTGATGGAGGGCAGGACCCGCTCGTCGTAGTCCTCGCCGATGCTGGTGAAGATGCGCGGCAGCTGCGCCGTCACGGGCCGGAACAGGATCCGCAGCGTGATGTTCACGTTCTGCAGGTCTGGGGAGAGCAGCCACCACTGACTGGGCTGCCCTCCACAGCCCTCTTGGCTTTGTGCCACAAAAGGAGCTGGTTTTCCTGCCCCTCTCAGCCCGGGAAGCTGTGAGCCTCAGTCTGTTTGTGGTGCCCCAAGGACAGGCTTTCTGTGCAAAGGGATC